CCCATATGTAGGCTCTTTTTTGGGGGCAGAAAGCATTTCATGTTAAAATTAATGGTTACCATCAACTCTGACTGATGTGGGTTTGAGATGAGAGAGAGAGAGAGACTAAAAATGGAAACCAAGAAAGGTAGTGTGATAATTAATTAATTAGATAGATAGATTTTGCACACAGCCACCAAATTTGTATTCAAATTCAAAAAATAATCATCAATAAAACAATTATCCAAAAGTTCTTTTTTGTTAAGGTTTTATTTAATACCATGGAGAGATAACACAGACAAGCTATCAGTGTGAAACCTGAGCTATCACTGGCCAAGTCTGAACATTGAAAGTTGTAAATACCTACCACTGGGCAAACTTGAGTAGTCAAAGCACCTACAGTACACTGCCACAGTGCTGCTGGAGACCATCTGACCTGTGGAAAAGCCCGTGAGAACAATAGCTCCAGTGGTGCTAGTCTGTTGCTGAACCTACACAGTGACCAAAAAAAGAATTTGCCTGAGATAAATAAAGTGGTGTATTGTAATTATTATCATGCCAGAGTTAGGTGACCATCCACTGTTCCCTCAGTGTAGGTTTTGTTAATGTTTTGATCCAATAGAATGAGTTCTACTATGTTTCATGTGTTTGTTGCTTGCAACCAATTTGTTCACAGATAGGTGCTAAAAAGTGTATAGAGTATATAGATATATCAACCTTTTGTTTTGCTGTGAAAATTCATCATGATTGCAATCCATCATAAATGAAATAAAGTGAAACTGATCTAAACTACTCTTCTCTGAAGATGGAAACCACTCATTTTTATCATCTACCTTTTTAACATAGGGATGAGAGTTTGATAATAACAGAGATAAGAGAGGCCACGTTTCTTACCTCGTCACTTAAATCATCAAAAGCTCATTTGGACCGCTCTATATCTTGCACACCTGCAAGCTGACATGAATAAAATACTCTCAAATCTTCTTCAATATCTGCTGTCAAAAACTTTGACTCATTTGATGTCTTTTGTGCTGCCTTTGTTTAGTCATCACTCATGTGACCACTGTCTCTCTCTGCAGGCAAAGAGAAACAGCAGCAGGGGAGAATTCCCATGTTGTTGGAGGTGATGCCACGGAGCAGCCGAGACATCCCACCAATCTCAGAGAGACAATGACTGATCCTCCTGGCTGCCTTACAGAACATCAGTCAAACTGAGCTTTGCATTCCTCCGTATTGTCCTTCTGTTTGGACTTTCTAATTAAACAATGTTAATTTCCTCTATAGCACAAATGCAATACCTTAAACTTCTTTTGTGCACTTTTGAAGCTGTATAGGTTACTGCTCATTTATTTAATCATGATAGCATCACATAGCTATGATGGGTATTATCATAATTATTTACAAACATAGCTGAAAAGGAAAAAAGTTAGCATGTGTGGTTAAACTAAAAAGTTGCATTTGTTTTTTGGCTGCAGTCAACTTTGTATGGGTCTGTCACATTATGACAGTATTTTAATTAAATAGAAGGAGATGTATAGAGAGACAGGGAGACAATGACTGATCCCCAGGCTGCCTTACAGAATGTTGTTCAAACAGAGCTTTGTTGCCGCTGCATGCCTTTGCATTGTCCCCCTGTCTACAATTGTTTCAATCAGATGACACCAATTATGCCTCTGTCATTTAGACTTATAATATTGTGAGATGACTCAGTATTAGTCTTTGTCAGGGATTCAAGTGGTTGGAAAAAATAAAGTTAGCTTTGCCAAGAAGCGGATGTTCCCTCCAGAATGCTTGGTTTAATCACGGTGCACTCCTGCAAAAAGGCACAAATTTTCACTGTAGTCGCTTTAACATTTACTCATGATTTTCTTTCTAGTTTAGGCTGACCTGTAGATAAAGACATACACCTTCTATAACAAACATGAGTTCATTGTCTACCTAAATATTTTATTTGTGTTTTGTTTCA